ATTATCAGATGAATAAAGTGTAGCATAGAAGTTTCGGAATATTGTATTTATTTCTTGTGGAGAGTTGGTAGGCTTCCCTGCTGAGTCCTTAATAGTTGCAATTGTTACTTTTAATTTGATTGGCCAAATATTTACTGGATTTGTTGCTGTGATGGAAGGTTTGTTGACGTTGTCTATGAATTAGAAATTGAGTTATTTTATTGATGATTTTGTTTAGCAGGAATTTTATTTGTCTTAGTTCATTATATATTACTTCTGTTGGGTTATTTGCATGTAATATTTCAAGTTCTTTTATTTTTTCTTCTAGTCTGATTTCTTCTTGTTTTTCTATTTTCTTTTTATGGACTGAGAATATGATATGATTTTACCTCGTAGTACTGCTTTGCCTGTTTCCCAAAGCAATGAAGCTGATGACTTTGGAGAGTCATTTATTTCTAGGAAGGATGTCCACTCTCTTTTAAGATAACTGTCAAACTCTGGGTCTTTAAGGAGAGATGTTAAAGCGCCATCTACTGGTGTATTTATGTAAATTAGCTGGATTCCATATGAGTGTTATTGGAGCGTGGTCACTGATGCTGATGGGTGGATTTTTGTATTCAGAGATATTTGGTATGATTGAGTTACTAGTTAGGAAAAAGTCGATGCGGGAGTAGCTATGATGAACCGGTGAGTAAAATGTATATTCTCTGTTAGTTGGATGCTGTAGCCTCCAACCATCGTTGAGGCCAAAATCTCTCATGAACTGTATTATTGTGTCAGTGGATTGCCAGTGTCGTTTATTGCTTGTGGATCTGTATCCAAAATGTATCACCACCCTGCCCGACGAGCTATCTTGAACAGTGATATAAAATTCATTCCTTGATTTGCGTTGTTCACTGGCTTGTAGGGGTAAAATGGATCATAGTTGATCGTTTCGCATATCCTTGCATCTGAATGAACACATACGCACAAAATTATCTCAAAATAACTGTCTCTGCAAGTATTCTTGTGTAAACAGTCGGTTATGTCTTAAGTGAACGTAAACAGTGGTGAAAGAAATATCAAGTGTATCATTATATTGGATCCTGCATTCGGTCTTAAAGGGGCAGCAGCCTATAAATACATGCTGTTCAATAAGCGCCACCTGACAGTCAGACAGTGACATTTGACAAGTCTGACAAGTTAAAATCAGACCATTCTGTTTTTTGCTTCAAATTTTGAAATTATACAACCTAATTGCAATCTAAATAACATGTATTTAGCATCTTTGTTTGGATCGTGATTAAAATTCAGTGGTTGATTTTAAATGGAAAAAGCACAGCCAAAGCCCTAGTTTGTTTATATGAAGAGATTTTATTTGTATTATTTAATTATTTGATTTGGGATTTGTTTAAAATCTTCAAGTTAGTTTTATTATTTGACATTATAATTTCACAAAAAAATTAGCAGCATTTTGTTGGAGAAATAATAAAAGGACACCTTAATTTGTCTTAAATCTCATTTGTTAAAAAGAAAAATTGTGAGAAAATTGGATTGTGAAATCAGTATCGTGAATCGTATTGCATCGCGAGTTGAGTGAATCGTTACATCCCTATATGCTACTAGTTTTTGCTGTGTGTGGTATCAAAGAAGTATTCTGTTATTTAAATAATAAAGAACCATATTTTTTTTGCTCATCTGCAAAATGATTTAGCAGGAATTTTATTTGTCTTAGTTCATTATATATTACTTCTGTTGGGTTATTTGCATGTAATATTTCAAGTTCTTTTATTTTTTCTTCTAGTCTGATTTCTTCTTGTTTTTCTATTTTCTTTTTATGGACTGAGAATATGATATGATTTTACCTCGTAGTACTGCTTTGCCTGTTTCCCAAAGCAATGAAGCTGATGACTTTGGAGAGTCATTTATTTCTAGGAAGGATGTCCACTCTCTTTTAAGATAACTGTCAAACTCTGGGTCTTTAAGGAGAGATGTGGTAAAGCGCCATCTACTGGTGTATTTATGTAAATTAGCTGGATTCCATATGAGTGTTATTGGAGCGTGGTCACTGATGCTGATGGGTGGATTTTTGTATTCAGAGATATTTGGTATGATTGAGTTACTAGTTAGGAAAAAGTCGATGCGGGAGTAGCTATGATGAACCGGTGAGTAAAATGTATATTCTCTGTTAGTTGGATGCTGTAGCCTCCAACCATCGTTGAGGCCAAAATCTCTCATGAACTGTATTATTGTGTCAGTGGATTGCCAGTGTCGTTTATTGCTTGTGGATCTGTATCCAAAATGTATCACCACCCTGCCCGACGAGCTATCTTGAACAGTGATATAAAATTCATTCCTTGATTTGCGTTGTTCACTGGCTTGTAGGGGTAAAATGGATCATAGTTGATCGTTTCGCATATCCTTGCATCTGAATGAACACATACGCACAAAATTATCTCAAAATAACTGTCTCTGCAAGTATTCTTGTGTAAACAGTCGGTTATGTCTTAAGTGAACGTAAACAGTGGTGAAAGAAATATCAAGTGTATCATTATATTGGATCCTGCATTCGGTCTTAAAGGGGCAGCAGCCTATAAATACATGCTGTTCAATAAGCGCCACCTGACAGTCAGACAGTGACATTTGACAAGTCTGACAAGTTAAAATCAGACCATTCTGTTTTTTGCTTCAAATTTTGAAATTATACAACCTAATTGCAATCTAAATAACATGTATTTAGCATCTTTGTTTGGATCGTGATTAAAATTCAGTGGTTGATTTTAAATGGAAAAAGCACAGCCAAAGCCCTAGTTTGTTTATATGAAGAGATTTTATTTGTATTATTTAATTATTTGATTTGGGATTTGTTTAAAATCTTCAAGTTAGTTTTATTATTTGACATTATAATTTCACAAAAAAATTAGCAGCATTTTGTTGGAGAAATAATAAAAGGACACCTTAATTTGTCTTAAATCTCATTTGTTAAAAAGAAAAATTGTGAGAAAATTGGATTGTGAAATCAGTATCGTGAATCGTATTGCATCGCGAGTTGAGTGAATCGTTACATCCCTATATGCTACTAGTTTTTGCTGTGTGTGGTATCAAAGAAGTATTCTGTTATTTAAATAATAAAGAACCATATTTTTTTTGCTCATCTGCAAAATGATGTGTATTTATGTAAATTAGCTGGATTCCATATGAGTGTTATTGGAGCGTGGTCACTGATGCTGATGGGTGGATTTTTGTATTCAGAGATATTTGGTATGATTGAGTTACTAGTTAGGAAAAAGTCGATGCGGGAGTAGCTATGATGAACCGGTGAGTAAAATGTATATTCTCTGTTAGTTGGATGCTGTAGCCTCCAACCATCGTTGAGGCCAAAATCTCTCATGAACTGTATTATTGTGTCAGTGGATTGCCAGTGTCGTTTATTGCTTGTGGATCTGTATCCAAAATGTATCACCACCCTGCCCGACGAGCTATCTTGAACAGTGATATAAAATTCATTCCTTGATTTGCGTTGTTCACTGGCTTGTAGGGGTAAAATGGATCATAGTTGATCGTTTCGCATATCCTTGCATCTGAATGAACACATACGCACAAAATTATCTCAAAATAACTGTCTCTGCAAGTATTCTTGTGTAAACAGTCGGTTATGTCTTAAGTGAACGTAAACAGTGGTGAAAGAAATATCAAGTGTATCATTATATTGGATCCTGCATTCGGTCTTAAAGGGGCAGCAGCCTATAAATACATGCTGTTCAATAAGCGCCACCTGACAGTCAGACAGTGACATTTGACAAGTCTGACAAGTTAAAATCAGACCATTCTGTTTTTTGCTTCAAATTTTGAAATTATACAACCTAATTGCAATCTAAATAACATGTATTTAGCATCTTTGTTTGGATCGTGATTAAAATTCAGTGGTTGATTTTAAATGGAAAAAGCACAGCCAAAGCCCTAGTTTGTTTATATGAAGAGATTTTATTTGTATTATTTAATTATTTGATTTGGGATTTGTTTAAAATCTTCAAGTTAGTTTTATTATTTGACATTATAATTTCACAAAAAAATTAGCAGCATTTTGTTGGAGAAATAATAAAAGGACACCTTAATTTGTCTTAAATCTCATTTGTTAAAAAGAAAAATTGTGAGAAAATTGGATTGTGAAATCAGTATCGTGAATCGTATTGCATCGCGAGTTGAGTGAATCGTTACATCCCTATATGCTACTAGTTTTTGCTGTGTGTGGTATCAAAGAAGTATTCTGTTATTTAAATAATAAAGAACCATATTTTTTTTGCTCATCTGCAAAATGATCCAGTCTGTTACTCAAAATCTGATATGATAACGCAATATGATCCGAGCCGTGGGTTTTGTGATCCGTTGAACCCCTACTCTCTTGACTTGTTATTTGAAGAAAAAAAGCAATCACTGAAGTTTTTAATCGTGCTGATTTGTCCGCAGTGAAGTTCAGCCGATGTCTTTTTTTTTTCTGGCTATTTAAATTAATTTTGGGCTACCAAAATCTGAAGAATGTCTGCCCGAAGGGCTACCAGTGATTTTGACATTTTGCGAGCCCTGCTAAAGGTAAAATTGGGGAAATCATTATACACCATTAAATATCCAATACTGGCCAATGTATATCTAATATTGACCAATACTGGTAGATTTCATTGGTGTCGGTTCCATAAAAAATAACTGATATCATACTGATATATTGTGCATTCCTACGTTTATTAGTTGCTTTCTTAAGGATGTTAAAATCAATCTTATTTGGCATTTTAGACTAGTGAAATGCAGCTGCGTATGTCAGTTTTTATGATAGCCACTGTTGATATTATTTCTATTATTTTCTTTCCTACTATTCCTAGTATAAACATTACCGCCATGTATACACAGTGGTTTATTTTGTAAATTAAGTTTAATCTGTAAATTAGCTGAGCATGACACAAATTGTAATTTATCAGGTAAAATGGTGGTTGCATTAGGATCATGACATAATACTAATTTTTTTTGTTTTTCTCTTGTATGTTTTATAGCACTTAAGCAGTCGCCTGGCTCGCCTGGCTGCAGAGTTGAACCTGTGTCACAGTTTCCAGGCTTTCCACTCTTCATACAGTGACACTGGACTGCTGGGTATTTATTTTGTTACAGACAAACATAAAATAGAGGACATGATGCATTGGGCTCAGAATGCCTGGTAAGTTCAGCTACAACATGCCGAGAAGATAGGATTGTCATCCAATGTTTTGTAGTTGTATTTGAGGTGATGTGCTCTTGATGTTTATGTCCTACAGGATGAATTTGTGCACCACAGTGACTGAGAGTGATGTGGCTCGAGCCAAGAATGCTTTGAAGGCCAGCTTAGTGGGACAGCTCAATGGTTATAAACATTCTTACTCTTATAAACAGTCCATACATTCTCTCTTTTTACATCAAAACATAGTCATAGTCCTAGTAAAAAAATATTAGATTTTTCGGATGTTTCACTTGAATTACTGTTAATTATAGTGCTGTATCCAGTAGCTTTGTTAACAATATTTTTTTTGTTTTTAAAACAGTAAGTTCATGATATGTGGTATAGATATGGATCTGTATTTGGAAATAAAAAAAGTAATGTTCTTGTTTAGGGATGGCTCAATAACAGTGTCATTCAAGCTACAGCAAGCATTTGTGTATAAACTAGTACTGTCAAACGATTAATTGCATCCAAAATAAAAGTTTTTGTTTACATAGTCAGTTTATTTTTGTGTGTGTACTGTGTATATTTATTATGTATATATACTGTATAAAGACACACACACAGCATATATTTTGAAAATATTTACATGCATTTACATGTATATATTATATCATATATAAATATATTTAATATATAAACGTAACATATTTTTATTAAATATATACATGCATGTGTGTATTTATATATACATAATAAATATACACTACACACATTATGTAAACAAAAACTTATTTTGGATGCGATTAATCGTTTGACAGCACTAGTATAAACCCTTTTGATGTATGTTTTTAACAATGTTAGCATCTCATGTTGATCTTTGAGGATTATTTCAAAATCTAATCTGCATTTTATTTGCACTTGATTAATTGCGATCATCTGATGCAAGTAAATTATTTCATAAATAAGTAATCACTTATTAGTACTCGACACAAAGTCTTTAAAAGGGAATATTTTTATATCCAGCAGATGATCGTGGTTAAAAACAAGCCCAAAAACAATGTAACTGTACCTCACAGCACAACTTGACTTACCTTTGCTAATTTTTTGGTTACATACCAACCAATTTTTGGAGATATTGGAGAAAAATAAATCATTATGATAATTTAATTTTATCTGGTGTTGTGCAATTAGTACATCAGCTGCAGATATATTGTATACTTCACCTTTAAACTATAGTGGCAGTAGAGATTGTCAGACTTTTTTTTGCTGTAATATTGACTTAACACCTCTCAGAACTGACTGCTTCTACACGCACACACTCACTTTAATTCTGTAACATATTTCTTCTTTCTGTCCTCAGGAACTACACCTGTTTGTGATGACATTGGCAGGCACATACTAAATTATGGTCGCCGCATCCCATTGGCAGAGTGGGATGCCAGAATTGAGGTAAATTGTCCATGTTGGCAAACTCACAGTGGCTGAATGACTGCACTCTTTAAGGTTACATTTAATTGTTAATTTTTATTTTAAGAATACATTTTTGCCCGTTTGCTGCTTCTAGGCGGTGACTCCCAGGATTGTCCGGGATGTCTGCTCTAAATACATATATGACAAATGCCCAACTGTGTCTGCAGTTGGTGAGTCAGTTTATTTTTATATTTAATATGCATTGTTTGTTTATAATTTTTTGTCGGGAGTGAATGATTATTTAGTGGAATTCTCTTTTATATTAGCATGACACATAATTAAGGAATTTAACTAGTAACCAGTGTAGTGATTATAATATGGCTGATAATGTTGAACTTTTTTTTCTCATTCAAGACAAGGGTGCATGTTTGACATACAGTGTCATACAGTGCTTAAGCTGTAGTGCTCACTTTAGCTTCGGATGACAGTATTTTTACCATCTGCTATCATGATTACTTAACTTTTTTTTTGTTCTAAAATGAATTGGCGATAATCAAATTGAGCTCATCTAAGGATCAGTTATTAATCATTAACATACCTAATATGGTTATTTTCTGGATCTAGCTGCAGCTTATTTACAGGGACATTTGGTACAATAATTAATTTGGCTATCAGACTTTAATGTAAGGAAATTGGACATTTCATGGAAATTGCTAGACATCCATCCCAATGTTATGGTATTGAAATTGACATTACGAATTTTAAAATTTCACTTGTATTAACAACTGAATTTTTGTAACCTTGCAATTGTTTCTTTTATGCAGGTCCAATAGAGCAGCTGCCAGATTATAACAGAATGAGAAGTGCTATGTACTGGCTCCGATTTTAAATGTTACTTGGGCTGTCAGCCCTCACTGATGTGATGTGTCCTTCATTTTTGTACCCCTATCTTGTATGAATTTGATGAGTAGCGTATTTGCCCATTTGTTTTCGTAGCCATCTTTCAAGCTCAGACGAAGAGAGAGAAGAGAATTTGGTACATTTACATCTAGAATGTCAGACATGAGAAGAGAATTTGGTACATTTACATCTAGAATTTCAGACATGCCACAGAGCTATGAATATATGTGATGTTTTATTTGTCCATTTTGTATATAGCAATAGCTCTTATTCCGACTTCAAATAAAACCGTCACATCAAGTTTTTAAAAAAAATTTTTATTTGTTTTAAACCCATTCAGTTTTTCCAGTAAACAGGAAAGGTAATTTTCAAGGAACTGTTAAAATGACAGCTGTTAAAATATATTTTTTTCTTCCAATTAAGGATGCTTAGCTGTTCTTGCCATTATCAAAATAAGCAGAGTATATACATTTTAATATTCAAGTTGGTGAGTATTCTGGGAATATCAATTTAGTGATTTTGTTAAAGGGACTTTAAGACTTGTGCAAACGCTGCCATGTCCATACATATATATTTTTTTAATCACATGGACAACCATGATGTTTGATGCAACTGCTGTGACAGAAATGGACCTAATTGCAATGGTTATCACAAATGTGTGCAGCTGCAGATTAAACATGATCAGGAAAGCAAAAGCAAAAACTTTAAGCTTCTAATAAATGTATTTTGTTAATTCTAAGCCTAATTAAACAGTAAATGCACAAGGTACTTTAAAAGTCATGGATTTTTAGATCACCAGGGTGATCTTGTCTATGTTTTCCAGTCCCCCCCCCCCTCAGAGTAAGAAATAAGTATTTTTATTTTAACTGTGGTAAAACATACTACTGAATTAGACCATACTACACCCATAAATTATTTCAAAACCAGTGACCTACCTTTTCATGTAGAAATATTAGTCATTTATGCATCTTAAATCATTTCAGTATTTGTGTTCATATTTTGACCTATAACGCTTTCACATATTCATAAATGGCAGTTGGTTTACAATAAATAAAAGTACAGAACCAAAAGCCTGAGACTGCAAAAGCACCTGGACCAGATCTGTTTCTCTCATGTTTCAAATAAGTTATTTCACTGAAATAGTCTGTAGATATAATTCTGCCTCTGCAACATTATTTCCAGCAAACAACAAAGTTAGGTCATTCTCCAAGCGCTCATCCAACTCATTCCTGAAAACACAGGCAATGAATAATGTCACTTTCATTAAAATTGTTAAAATGAAGGAATCTTGTGAAAAATATACATACTGCATATAGACAATACTTGACAGTTTTGCAACAGATTTCATCATAACTATGGTAGCCAGTAAAAAGTCTGGGGTGGACGACTCCTCTCATCTCTCAGAACCTTGACTGGATACTTCTGTAGGCGCTGAATCAAACCTTTCATCAAGCCAAACTGAATCAACTTCCTAAAGCAACACAAAATATCAAAGTAGAATAATTATTTTATATAGAATATTAATTTCTTACAGATCACACTAGCATTTAACCAACAGCCAAATAAGCCAATAGGACACAAAAGCATTCTTAAGGTAAAATCTTTACAGTATTGTTCTTCTGTAGTTTAAGAACACTCAAATGGCATGTTAATTATGGGTATTCAAGTGTGAACAACAATCAAATTCAAATGGCCTTGCCTTTCATCCACCCTCTGTAACTGGTGAGAATAGCGGGAACAGTCGTACCTGGGGTGAGACCACAGTACAACTTGAAAACATCCCTGAGATTTGTCCTTTGGCCTGGAGATATACAGTAAAATGTCTTCTGTGTCTACTCATACATGTTGCAAAAAAAACATGTATTTGGAATCGATGAACTTGCTTACCTAGCTTACTATACCTAGCTGTATACACTCTTCCTGAAGGCACTTCTGATCTATTAAGTTTTGTACTTTAGGTGTTGTGCAGTAAACATTTGAGTACTGTAGGATAGGAAAACCAAAAAAAACTTAAGTATTTATAATACAATTCTGAAGAAACAAAAATTTACCTGGAATATGGATACCAGAGTTACCACTTCATAATACCTGTGAAACAATACAATTGTTCAGTCCATGACTTGTCACACTTCTGCTGCTATTACATGTATATGTACTTTCTGCTTCACTTTAAAAATTGTAATGATCTTTTTATGGTTTTAGCGCATTCATTAATGCTATTTTCATTTTAAATTCTTTATATTTTAATAAGGTGCTAGATTTTGATGCATTCATCATAGTATCTATACATTTTTGTCAAGAGTAGAGATTGAGACCATATGCCAGAAGCAGGAGGTAGATCAAAATGACAATAATACTGTCGGTTACATAAAACTTGAGCTGTCATCTAACAACTGTCATACAACTCTGACAGCATTTCTGTGATATAATGATTGGTTTTCAAGGCAACATTGGATCATTAGACTTTTCTCCAGAAGCAGAGCTGTAAGGATTGAAATTTCCCATAATAATAAGAACACCAGTGCCCTGTACCATGATGGTGGTTGAGCAAATTTAGGATTATGAGATTAGTTTTGAGTTGACAAAACCAAACCAATCCACTCAGGCTCTGTTGCTACCATGATGCTGATCATCAACTCGGGATTTGGTTCCGAGTTCATGGAGGGAATGCACATAAAATGTGATGTCATTAGCAAACAGCCAATCGTATGCCTTAAAACATATACAAACTGCAATTCACTTCTCCAGCGAGTCACTCTCTTCTGCCAAACAATTACAAGATTGAAAATTATGAAGAATTTAAGAGCAAGCGAAGCTGGGGGAGTGGCTTTATTGCATCAGAGATGTGTCACTTTGCTCACATTTAATGTTGCAAAGTCTTACCCAGAACTATGGAGCTTATAATAGTCAAGTCACCTTTATTTATATAGTGCTTTTAACAATACAGATTGTCAAAGCAACTGTACAGCATTAATTAGGAAAATAGTGTGTCAATAATGCAAAGTGACAATAGTAAACACTCATTTTTCAGTTAAAAGGCAGTTCATCATTGAACTGAGCTGGATGATGACGACATCACTGAATTCAGTTTAAATGGTATCTGTGCAATCAAGTCAATGATGATGTCGCTGGAAATGAAGTGTGCCCAACTAAGCAAGCCAGAGGCGACAGCACCAAGGAACCAAAACTCCATCGGTGACAGAATGGAGAAAAAACCTTGGGAGAAACCAGGCTCAGTCGGGGGGCCAGTTCTCCTCTGGCCAGACGAAACCAGCAGTTCAATTCCAGGCTGCAGCAAAGTCACATTGTGCAGAGGACTCAACTGGCTCCTGTGGTCTTGTCTGAGACTAGGTCTTTACTGGGGATCATCTTGTTGTCCTGGTCTCTGCTGACTTTCAGGGCTGTAGAGGTCCTCTCTAGGTGCTGATCCACCATCTGGTCTGGATACGTACTGGAGCCGGGTGACCATCTGATCTGGATACAGACTGGATCTGGTGGCTACGGTGACCTCGGAATAAGAGAGAAACAGACTAATATTAGCGTAGATGCCATTCTTCTAGCGATGTAGCAAGTACATCGGGTGTTATGGAAAGTGTTCCCGGTTCCGGTTGACCTAATTAATGCAGCCTAAAAATCCTTTAACAGATTTGAATATTAGAAAGGTGTTGTGTAAGCCAAGAGATGGGTCTTTAATCTAGATTTAAACTGACAGGGTGTGTCTGCCTCCTGAACAATGTTAGGTAGGTTGTTCCAGAGTTTGGGTGCTAAATAGGAAAAAGGATCTTCCGCCCGCAGTTGATTTTGATATTCTAGGTATCAAATTGCTAGTTTTGAGAATGCAGCGGACATGGAGGACTATAATGTAACAAGAGCTCGTTCAAATACTGAGGTGTTAAACCATTCAGGGCTTTATAAGCAATAAAGCAAGATTTTAAAATCTATACGATGTTTAATAGGTAGTCAGTGCAGTGTTGACAGACCCGGGCTAATATGGTCATACTTCCTGGTTCTAGTAAGAACTCTAGCCGTTGCATTTTGGACCAGCTGGAGTTTAAGCGTGCAGAACAACCACCCAATAAAGCATTACAGTAATCTAACCTTGAGGTCATAAATGCATGGATTAACATTTCTGCAATTGACATTGAGAGCATAAGTCATAATTTAGATATTTTTTCCATCAAAAATATATGACAAATTGAATTTGTATTGTGTAAATTTGAATTATCATCATGTCATTTAACTAAACTGAATATTATGTGGCATTTAAAAGGTGAGGTATGTATTTTTTCAAAAACGCTTTAGAAAATTGAGTCAGGCCGAGTACCAAAACAAACTTGTAGCCAATCAGCAGTAAGGGGTGTGTCTACTCATGATGCGGAGGAGAGAGCGCTCAGTGCACATTAGCCGAGCAGAGCAACAACAGAAAGATAGAGATGACGGATAAACAAAAGAGGAAAATGTCTGCGGAACAAAAGGTGGCCTAGGATAAAGGCAAGAAGTAGGACCCGTGTAGATATCGGATCAGCTTTCCAGCACTGGAGAGAACTCAAAGAGCGGAAGGCCTACGATTGGTTGCTTGGTTTCTTCTCAATAGATGAGTAACACCGTGTCTACACCGGAAGCGACAGTGGTTTCTTCCGTGCCGCAACAGCTAAAGTCGGTCTACACTGGACACGATAAAGCGACCACTGAAAAATCATAAAATCGAACGCAGCAGCGGTTTTCTGTCTGGGATTTGTCGGGTCGCGCCACGCCGCATCCAGTGTACACAGCATCACTGATTAGGAGTTCTATAGTATTTTGCGCGTGTCCAGTATAGACACGGTGTAACATTGTTTTTGCTTTGTTTCGCAGCATTAATCGTTGCCTGGGTTGTGTACGTATGTGTGGGGTGGAGCTATCAAAATAGGGCTGAGACCCTTTTGGTGTAGAGGCGTGTTTGTTTCGGTGATTTGAAATATCAACATTGGCTACCAGAAATCACTTACCCCACCTTTAACATAGTTCTGCATTAGATTTTTTTGAACTTGATTATTAAACATTTGAAATTGAATACAACTGAATATTTTTATGGCAGAGTTTTATAGACGTATTTTCAAACAGCGATTTTTTTTTTTGTTCTGAAATCTTAAACTGCAAATATCCAGTTTTTAAAAATACAGCTTCGAGTTTAAGATGAAGAGGAAATTCAGAATATCAAATTCAATACGCAGAAATTCAGATCGTACAGAAAGTAGGTCAGAGGTAATCCACAGGAAAGGGTAGATGATCTCCGAAAAGTCAAACGAAGCATTTTGGTCAGATAGTAGTTTTCTGGAGTGAGCGTGTGGTTTAAGATCTACCTGGTCATGAGTCGCCCAGAGGTAGCCTAAGTGATATGGCCTCTTGGGCGGGCCTTGACCATTCAAAGCGGCCAAGGTTCCCAGACCTTCTGCCGTCAGTCTGAAGGTCTGGCTACACAAAACTACTATGGCAATAAACACTGATAAAAACAGAGCCACTTTCATGGTGCCTAAAACCTAGGCACAAACTAAACTGAAATCTACCTGGCTAGCCAGCTAAAATTGCTTCATGGAGGCTTCATATGTGAACTCAGACTGTAAACAGTTAATCCGTGCATGTTATATTTATATTATATGACCTTGTTTAACCCTTGTATGGTGTTTGGGTCTGTGGGACCAGTTTTCACTTTTTGTCAAAAGAAAAATTGTACGATTATTTTTCTCAAACCCATACTCATTGGCCTTAGCTCATTTTCTGTGAACAACATATCAGAACAAATTTTCAATGACCACTCACTGTACACCCCCCCCCCCACTTATATCCCCCCATACTTCCTTACATTTT